TCTCTCTCTCTCTCTCTGACTTGATTAACGAGGGCATGCAAGTCCCCCTCGTGAACATATATATTTTTCCTGTACATTTCTGATTACACATGATATATGATTACCTATCTATCGTACGGTCTCATCTACATAATCTACCCTAGTTATATTTCTCACTCTCGACATATATATGTACACTACCTGTACCTCTTAACCTACTCTGTCCTAGGTTCTACGTATTAAATCCCGCCTACTATCTTTACTACAACACACTAACCCTAACCTTGATATATATACTATAAACCACTGATTGCCTGACGAATGTCCTAGGCCTGTACATGAATCTATTATCCTACCCTCGGGCTCACTGGGTACACTGGAAACTGCACATTCAATAGCTCCACAACACTGTGTCACCAATACTATGAAACAATGATATTATCACTCGGCATGGCTAATATGCGTAAACAAACCCACCTGTAGTACAAGATGCCGGCTGACGTCCAGCACTCGTCAGACCCATGTTGAAGAGCGCCTTCGGCTGACAACGGAATATTCTGTGATAGAACGTGTCCAAGTCCCCCGAAATTCCCTAATTTATGGGTTTATTTCCGCTGATTCAGCCTTGACGAAAGAGGGTGAGTGACTCCCCCTCAGTGTCCTCCATCCTCATGATAACCTCCTCATTGGCTTTCATGGGTGGTTGTGGGCGGACCCCCCTGCGTCTCCTTGCTGTGTAAGCAGTCTTTCACGAGTAATCCAGTGTACGAGTGAGGTAAGCTACTGGCTTTGTGGTACACCGAGACTTGCTGAGTCTTCACATTCTTAACCTACTTGCCCGTCCCGGTGTTTACAATTTAAGGCAATAACTGCGAAACTCTTTTCGCAAGTCTCTAGCTTTTTTGGGTAATACCATCCTCTTTCTAATCTCAAATTTGGGGCATCACAGCGCAGCTATACCACCACTTCCCTATATGCCTTCATGGTATAGTGCTTAATTATATAATTAAGTACTGGGATAACTTTACTTTTTACTTTTAGTTTCCTCAGAAGAATTTGATATTGTCACAATTTTATGGAGTGTTTATAGACGGAGTTTGCATTTGTAATTGGATTTATTGAACTGTTAGAGAACGTAAGTACAAGTAACCATATCGCTGTCAGTAATTCACACACAAACTACAATTCATTACAGCACGCACTAAGCCTTCTCAGTCGGCTTTATCTTCATTGGTTGTCGCCTTGTAACGTGTTTCAATGCTCCTCCAACGCCTACAAGCGTATAGCCATTTCTGTTCTGAGGGCTGTGCTTATGACGTCTGTGATTGGTCTCGCCTTCCACGTGGCTCGATTCTCACTTTGATTACTCCTGAACTGTTCCTGCTGCTTCCTCCTTAAGTCGCTCGTCTCGAGCGGCCCCCTGATAAGGCGCCAAACGGTCCGGGTGTATCACCATCATCATCCTTTTCCTATAGGTGCAGGCAGAAGTTCCGAGACTGGTCGATGCTCCTATATTTCTCTCTCCTTAAGCTTCTAGTAGTCTCTTCTTTGGTTTCGGAGGTGGGCCGAACCCTCCATAATGTCCAGTCACTCACTCCCATAACCCAATGGAAATCCCGACTACTCGTTTCACGAACCTCCAGTTCGAGAGTTTGCCTCATGGTCTTGTTGAAAGCCCTCATGCTTCATAGATGTAGCTGACCTTTCAGGCATCGGTCCCTTACTCTGTTAGTGCAGTCCTGTAGCGCCCGACGTCTCTTCCTGAACGTTCGTCCTTGCGTGGTCTCTGACGGCCGTATCCCTTGCGCGGTACAGGGACGGCACTGTGGGTCATCCGTCTGCGGACGGCAGGACCCCCCCTCGCCCTGTGGTAAGAATTCTGTCCGGATATCGGTCTTCCAGCGCTCGCATAGTTACCTCTGCGGGCTCTTCCTTAGGGGCGTCCTGCTTCTCCGTTACGCCTTCCGAATCCGTCGGGGCCGTTTCCCCCAACTTTTTTCGAACACATCCACCGCGGCCTCGATTTTCTCTAGTTAAGAGTCCATCATGGCCATCATCCTTTCGCGATGGACATTCCTCTTGGCATCCATCCATTCTTGGTTGGCTCTCATCTTGTCCTGCTTCTCCGTTACGGCTTCCGAATCCGTCGGGGCCGTTTCCCCCAACTTTTTTCGAACACATCCACCGCGGCCTCGATTTTCTCTAGTTAAGAGTCCATCATGGCCATCATCCTTTCGCGATGGACATCCCTCTTGGCATCCATCCATTCTTGGTTGGCTCTCATCTTGGCCAGCATATCATGTTTCAGGAGTTCGTGGGCAGCTGTCCTTTCTTCTTTCATTTCCTTCAGATTGACGTCCGTCTTGGCTTGGTTACGTTTCATTTCAGCCAGCAGACGTGCCATCGTTTGTTCCAACTCAATAGTGTGGCGATATAGCTTCGAAGCCAACCATTTCTTGCCCCAGTTGTCACGCTTTTATGGGGTGACTATAGCCGAGGTTTCATTTGGTAATTGGATCTATTCACCACATACAACTCAACTACAAAATCTTTAGCTGATGCCCTGTAGGCATGAGGAAGGTGGACAGCCTCATATCGCAATTCCGCTTTTAGGAACGTCAGTCTCTATGTAGCACTTCTTATGTCTGTTCTCAGCCTCCTTATCTTCCTAATACATCTCTGCCGCGCACTGTTTGTCTCAGCAAATTCCTCTTTCAGTGACGTGGTTGTTTTTATGGCACTTCTCAGTCATTTCATCGTCCGTTCCTCACTATTGTATCTCTTTCATACCCAGTTGGTCTTGGTGAATTCTGCTTCCAGGAACTCCATCTTTTCTATGGCACCTCTCAAGTCTGATTCCAATCTTCATTTCTCCATGATGGATCTCACCTGTACACGTTTTGCCTCACTCAGTTCCTTATTCAGGGACTCTATCCTACAAGTTATAAGATCAGCTGAGTTTGGGCAGCCCTTCATCACTCGCTTCATATTAACTACAATGGACTGATGGTGAAACATATGAATATCCCCAGAATATATCGTCACAGTTTGGAAATTCGCTATCAGGTAAGTTTGTAAGAGTCGTCTGGGGGGCTGCACTAAAGATAGGTGAGCCAGCAAAACTTATGGGGCTCGATTCCTCAACAAAGTTGCTGCCTTGTGACTCGTTTGTCTCTTGGGGTGCAAATGGTGCCGATATTTTCTTCTGTTCCAGATCAGACCAGTTCATTCCATTTAAGAATGGATGTCTTTTGAGTTCCTCAGCACCGTCTTCTCCTCCACCTAAACGCTTTCGTGGATCCTTGACTAATAATTTAGAGATGAAATCTTTCGCATGAACGGATAAGTCATTTTGGATACAGGGTTCGTCCTCAATTATTCGGTGAATTATTTCCTTCCTTGTCTGTGATACACTTCGAGTTTCAAATGGTGACTCCCCCCCTGTGAGGAGTTCATGTGTAACGATGCCAAGACTCCACCAGTCCACTGCCATGTCATAGCCCGCGTCACTGCTTTCAATCAGTTCTGGGGCCATGTAGCCTAATGTACCACAATATGAATGTGCTTGATGCTGCTCACATGGAAGGAACATCTTGCTGACACCGAAGTCTGAGAGGACTGCGTGTCCATCTGAGTCAAGCAAAATGTTCTCCAGCTTAACGTCGCGGTGCATGATGCCCCGCTTGTGGAGATATTCCAGCGCCAGAATTGTCTCACTGATGTAAATTCTTGCTTCATCTTCTGTAAAACTTCGTTCATAAGATTTGGTCCGTAGANACCACGCGCGTAATCTAGAACGAGGTATAATTTGGTGTCAGTCTGGAAAGCGTAGTGAATGGTGGCG